TATATATAGTTATGTATATATACAAAAGATGATACTATTTTCTCTTAGCCATGCTGGTTGATGAAAGATGCTATACTTTATCTGGTGGTTTCCTAGAAAGGAACATGCATGAAAAGCAAGACAGAAAATGTAGTGCTAAACTTCCTTTATAAAAGTTTTACAGTTATTTATGCAGTTCAGTCCTGTGAGAAGTACACATAATACCATATGGGGATTTAACCCTGAATGCCACTCAATCTTTTTTGACATATATGTTATTGTCATAATTTGATTCTTGAGAGTTTTACACAGGCAAATTGGGTAAATATACCACCAGTTGAGAGTTAAGGAAATAGGGAATCACAGAGGTTAAATAATTTTACAAATCCATAGAGATTAAATTTTAGAATTAAAGAAGAAAAATAGTGTTTTCTGCTATATTAAAAAACAAAAAAGGCACAACACAATGCTATCATCTTTAACTAATATAAAGTAGGAAAAGTAAAGTAACCAACATACAGAAAGTACAAGAAAATATAATAAAAATCACAGCAGAAACCAATTAAATGCCAACAAAAATATGTTCAAAATCAAAAAGGAAAAGATTGAATCTTTGAGATAATCAATACAAGTAAGAAACTTCTGGGCAAACCCATCCCATAAAAGGGAGACTACACAAATTACGGAGAGCTATGAATGACAGAGGTGGCAGTACTACAGACTGTATGGATATTAAAGAGATAATATAAGGAGACAATGCACAATGTTTTGTCAAATAACTTGACAAGTTAGATTAAATGGGTAAAATTCTAAAAAGAAGTCAATAAACCTTACTTCACCAGAACTAGATGGCCTTGAAGACCACTAAGATTAAAAGACGTGAAGTTTTTGTTAAAGACCATCTCAAAAAAATTTCATTCTAGTTAGTATCAGAGGTAAATCCAATAAATAAGTAAGAAAAATAATACCAATTCTGTGTAAAATTTTCCAGAACACAGGAGAGGAGGAATTTCCCTGAAGTCTATGAGGGCAATAATTCTGATATCAAAAGCAAATTACAAGAACACTAGTGGCCAATAATTGATGTCCATCAACATAGGTGCAAACAGTTTAAATACACCATTGACAAAATAAGTGCACACACACACACACACACACACACGCATACAGTATCATCATAATCAAATTGCAAGGTTGATTTGAATATGAATCATTGCAATTCGACAAGTTGACAGTTACATAAAATAATGATTACCTCAATAGCTCAGTGGACAGAAAAAGAGTTTGACAAAAGCCAGGATCCATTACTTGTAAAATATTTAAGTAATCTATGATACAAGGAGACTTCTGTGACATAATAGTGTCTACACACAAAAAAAATCCTACAGGAGGTATCACATTGATTGATTAAAAAATAGAGTGCTTTTCCTGATGTGCTCAGAAGCAACAACAGCAGCAACAATGACCACCACCACAACAAAGAACATCTATTCTCACCACTCCATTCAACACTATCCTAATAGTTCTTGACAGTGAAGTCTGGCAGGAAAGACAAAATTGCCAAGATTTAAAGAAAAAAGTTAAAATGTTTTCTTAGAAAACATAAATATTTGGAAAGTATGATGGAACACAGAAAGATACAAGCACTAAGTCTTTTAACAAGGACGCATGATACAGAGAAATATAGTTGTGTGTCATGAACTTATCCCAGTAGAACGCGTGGCCAAACCATTAATAGTTGCCAAGAGGGTAACAGAAGCACCACATCCACTTAGTGCCCTTATGCCTCATAAATCATATTCGGCAATATGTCTCCAATTTTTTTTTTTTATTTTAAAGAATAAAAGAAGGGGGGCTGGGGATTTAGCTCAGCGGCAAAAGCGCCTCCCTGGCAAGCGCAAGGTCGTGAGTTC